GAAGATTGGATTTATGCCGCCATAAATCAAGGAATGTCTGGGGTCCCAAAAGCTGGAAGAAGCAAGAAAGGATTCTCCCCTATGGTTTTCAAAGAAAATATGGCCCTACAGATAGCTTGAATTCAGGCTTCTAGTCTCCAGGATTGAGAGTGTAAATTCCTCTCATTCAAGTAATCAAATTGTTGGACTTGGTTATATTAATTCCCATGATACTATAACATTCCCAGAATTTCACAGTGCTGCTTTCCAGTTGGTCCTCAAAGGCATTTAGCGTTTTTATTTTTATCTCCACATGTTATCTTTACCTGTCCCTTCACTATCAATGAAATTATATTGAGCATACTGTGTGTGGGTGGGTGTCAGAATTCTTTTGACAAACAGAATTGTGTGGATTTCATTCCTGTGTGTATGTATATTTTGATAATTTCTAATATTGAGTACAATTCATAGCATGAATATACCAGTATTCCTACATTTTGTTCATAGGCTTTTGAGTGGTTTCTTTTTATTCATTTTGTACATTATATCTACTTTTATCTATCTTTTGTTGAAAAGTTGTTTGGCCTATTTTTGCAGTCAATATCTTAACATTATAGCAAGTACATTTTACTTAGTTGAATTTATATTGGATTTCTTCACTGATAATGTATAGTGCTTGAATGTTTGAATGTTGGCTGTCCCTAATGTGATACATGTTACTGATTTTGAATATAAAATACTTGAAAAATGCTACCTTTAAAACTCTATACTTTTATGGATAGACCCACATATTTCTCAGTTGGTGGGATCACTATTGCTAGTTGCATACTTTTAATTTTCCAACATACACATTTTTTTCTTTGAGTACTATTTTGGTGAACAAATACCTAGTCTTATTCTAGCTGAAATATATTTTTCTCTCATTCTTAGACTATAATTTAGCAGATTATAGAACTATTATTTGGTAGTCAGTATCCTACATGTGTTCTTTAGCATGTATCTTGCTACCTAATATTTACTGTTTCTGCTAAGATGTATGCTACCAAAGATCTGTTCTTTTGTAATCTGCTGTTCTTCTCTGGTTTGACTTTATTCTTGAGCACAGGTAAACTCTGTTCAGATACAGGCTTGGTTTCTAACTCTCCCCAGCTTTGCCAATTTTTTATCCAAGAACTGTGTGTCCCTCAATTCTGGGAATGAGTTGGTCATGATCTCTTAGAATAGTATGTCTTATTCATTCTCTCTGTACTTACCTTTTATAGTACTTACTATTCATGCCCTGAGATTTTGCATTTTTCTTTATATGCTGCTTCTCATTTTATCTTGTTTGATGCTATAGCTATGTTTGTAAAAATTTATTAATGTAAACAGAACAGATTTCATAGGTATAGTTCTAAGAAGATGACCATACTTCCTTCCCTCCTCTTCTCCCTCCCTCAAGACCTTTCTTTCCTTCCCTCCTTTTCTTTTTTTTTTAATTTTTGCAAAGACATAATTTCAGTGCACTCTAGTCATAGGCTTAATTCAGCACTAGCCATAATATTCAACAAATAAAAAGAAGACCATAGTTCCACAAGAATGTAAATGAGCTCAAACAATAATCATGAGACAAGATGTCCATTTCATTCCTATACATGTTTTTGTAGTCTATGTTGAATACCTCATACTAGAGAAAATATACAATGTCTATGTTTAGAGAATTGGATTATTTCACTAAGCATAATGGTTTCCAGTTGCATCCATTTTGTTGCAAATGACAAGATTTCATTCTTACAGCTGAGTAGCATTCCATAGTGTATATATATTACATTTTGGTTAGTCATCAGTTGATGGACATCTGGGTTGATTCTATATCTCAGCTGTTGTGAATTGAGTTGCAGTAAACATGGGGGTATAAATCACTCTTTAGTATGCTGATTTCATTTCATCTGGGTAAATTCCCAGGATTGGGATGGCTAAGTCATATGATAGATCTGTTTTTGGATTTCTGAAGAATCTCCGTATTGTCTTCCAAGATGGTTGCACTAGTTTACATTCCAACCAGCAGTGTGTTATGGTACGTTTCCGTCCATATCCTCACCAGCATTTGTTTTTTGATATTTGAGTTATAGCCATTCTAACTGAGGTGAGGTGAGACTTCATTGCAGTTTTGATTTGCAGTTCCATGATGACTGGTGATCCTGAGCATCTTCTCCTGTGTCTATTGATGCTACAGCATCAATGCTGTAGCTCTTTAAATCTGGCTTTTGGTTATGTCACTCTTTTCAAGTCTACAATTCGACTTGTCCATAGAATATTTTTTTGGTATTTTTCATTTTATCCTAACTTCTGCATTTTCTTTTCCTCATGATTTCTAGCCTTAATCTCTTCAAATATTTCATACTCATTTAAAATTCTTCTAGAATGTTCAGTTATTCCTGATTCCTTAGGTATGCATGTTCCTTCTTGGTGATACTGATGACTCGTTTTCATGGTGTTTTGGTTTGTAGTTTATTCATCTTGAGGTTAAAGTAGTTTTTGCATGAAAGTCCCAGGTTGCAGGATTATAGAACATTTAGAGAGTAGTTTTATGTATTTTTGTTTGTGACTTGTTCTGGATCTGGATAACTTCTACATAAAGTTGTTGACTTGGGGACCTAAGCAGGGGTGGGAAACCTTTTTTCTGCCAGGGTCATTTGGATATTTTAACATCATCTGCAGGCTATACAAAATTATCAACGTAAAACTTATCCTGCTAGACTCACAGAAGGACAATCACTTTAAGACTCAGCCCCTAAGGCATTCTAATCTAACTGAAAAGCCCAGGGGAGCATTTCAGGCATGGAAAGCCAAGACACACTGGCAAAAAATGCTCTTCATAAAGGCCCTCTGTGGGTGAGATGCCAGTGGAAAGAAGCAGCCACCAAAGAAGGTTGTACTTTTCTCTGAAGGGAGGAGAGAACTTCTGCTTTGCTTATGGCCTCGTCAATCTAGTGGATCCTAAAGGCTTCCATAGCTGAGGCAGCTCATGTCAAGAGCCTTGGGTAGAGGGGATGAACCAATGGAAGGAAGACCTCCCACTCTCCCACTCTCCCACTCTCCCACTCTCCCACTCTCCCACTCTCCCACTCTCCCACTCTCCCACTCTCCCACTCTCTTTCTCCCACTCTCTCCCACTCTCCCACTCTCCCACTCTCCCACTCTCCCACTCTCACTGTCTAACTCAATCAAATAAATTAATAAAAAAAGAGCCTTGGGTGATCACCGATGTCATACATAAGAGTGTTATTTGCTAAATAGATCGCAAGAGTCACTGTGCACTAACTTGCCGTGCAGGACCTCTGTCCCCAGACAGTTGTATCATGAGATTTAATAGTGGCCGGTGCCACGGCTCACTAGGCTAACCCTCCACCTGCGGCGCTGGCACACTGGGTTCTAGTCCCAGTCGGGGTGCCGGATTCTGTCCCAGTTGCTCCTCTTCCAGTCCAGCTCTCTGCTGTGGGCCGGGAGGGTAGTGGAAGATGGCCCAAGTGCTTGGGCCCTGTACCCGCATGGGAGACCAGGAGAAGCACCTGGCTCCTGGCTTTGGATCAGCGTGGTGTGGCGGCCATTGGAGGGTGAACCAACGGCAAAGGAAGACCTTTCTCTGTCTCTCTCACTGTCCACTCTGCCTGTCCAGAAAAAAAAAAAAAGACTTAATAGTAAAACTGATTCTCAAGAATCATTTCCTTTTAGTGTATTAAATGGAAGATATTATTGTGTCTCAGAAATTAGTTATGTCTAAGCTCACAAAAGATGTATCATTCTTGGGTTCTTCTTTAAAGATAATTAAGTTTTTAAAAGGAAAATGGGGGAAGAAGGAAGGGAAAAGAGGAAGGGGGAAAAAATGAAATTGCCATCAAGAAGCAACAAAACTGAACAGCCCTTGTTTAGACTGTTGAGGAAGAGTTTTCTTAGTTCCCCTCTCCCCTCCCCTCTCCCCTCTCCCCTCCCCTGGGATATCACTCGCAGAGATGTTTCATTTTAGATTGTTTTTTTTTTTTTTTCTTTGCCAGAATGTCTTGGCTTTCCATGTCTAAAATACTCTGACAGGCTCTTCAGCCAGATCCGACTGCCTTAAGAGCTGATTCTGAGGCCAGGGTGCTGTTCACGACATCTGCCATTCTATGAGTCTGCTGTGTATGCCGCTTCCCATGTTGGATTGTTCTCTCCTTTTTGATTCCACCAGTTAGTATTAGCAGACACTAGTCTTGTTTATGTGATCCCTTTGACTCTTGGACCTATCAGTATGATCAGTTGTGAACTGAAATTGATCGCTGGGACTAGTGAGATGGCATTGGTACATGCCACCTCAATGGGATTGAATTCGAATCCCCTCGTATGTTTCTAACTCTACCGTTTGGGGCAAGTCCAATTGAACATGTCCCAAATGTTATATTTATGAGATACATACAAATAGAAAAACTTATCCTGTGTTGAATTTTGAGTCCTGCCTGCTGTTGAGTTTGCAGGGCCAGACCAAATGATTGTGGGCCTTCTATGATCCATAATTTGATTCTGGATCCCACACTTAGCTGTCATGCGGGCATGGAATAGGGATGGGGTTTCCTCTCTACTGTGCTCTTCCCTTCTGTGCCATCAGCCCAGGGTTGGAATCCTGTTCTTTGGCCAGTTGGGATGGGGGTTGGTGGTACTTGTCATGGACAAACAACTTTCATGACTTCTGACTAAGGGAGCTAAGGCTCAACTCTTCACATGGGTGTTTCTTGGCCTGGATCCAGTACTCCAGAGGAAGCTCTGTCAGTGGCCTTATATCCCCACGAACCATTTGGTTTCAGCTTCTGGCCTCAACTTTGCATCTGCTGTGTTTCTTCTTTGTTTCTAACTTTGGTTGTATTTTAACCTTTTTGTATGTGTGAGGGTGGGGGATGGCATTTTACTTAGTATTTCTAGGTCAATTGAACAGAAAGAGACATTTGTCCTTTTGTCATGATGTATTGACCAGAATGTTTAAACACATTTTTGTTTCTTTTCTTTTGCAGCTAGTTATGTATCAAATCCTATTTGCAAAGGTTGCTTGTCTTGTTCTAAGGACAATGGGTGTAGCCGATGTCAACAGAAACTGTTCTTCTTCCTTCGAAGAGAAGGGATGCGCCAATATGGAGAGTGCCTGCATTCCTGCCCATCAGGGTACTACGGACACCGAGCCCCAGATATGAACAGATGTGCAAGTGAGCATTTGACTTTAATCTGTCCTGTTTTACTAGAACTTAGGTTATCCTCTAAGTTGAAAATGTTTAATTTCTAACTGGCTATAGAACTAGTCTAAGCTCAAACTTAAAAAAATAAGTAGGGTGGGAGAAGAGAGCTTTTACTTTATATAAGTACATCACACAGTTACACACACTTTTTGATTACCTACTTATCTTTTTATCACAAGGATCCAAACACAAGCTTGCTAGGCAGATCATTGTAAAGAGTACTTAGGGATTGCCAACAACAAAAACCAAAAAACCAAATATCAAACCATGGGCAACTTAAATTCTGTGTACTGAGAACTTATCAGTGAACATAACAGTTTCTTAAGCTTTTCTCTTACCTGAACTTGTAATATATGGCTTTAGTATGACCTATAATTAAGCATATGCATTTTAGGTTCTTTGAAGCACCATTACTGGTGAAGATGTAAGTAAAATATTTAACTTAATTCAAAGTATCCAGACTCCTGATTTTAATGCTGATTTTAAAAAAAAGGTTAATAAGAAATAACATCCTATATCTGGGCATGAGGGTACAACTTTTCATTTTTAATGCAAAAATGACTGATGGAATGATTCTCAACAGTAGAATTTGAGGTTGAAAGAAAGAATAAAGTAGTTACCAAAGGGACTTCTTAAAGGAGCTAAGGAAAGGAGAATGAAATAACAAATGGTAAGCATTAAATAATTTAATACGTTAGGTGCTATATCAGTAGGCATTAAATCTCTTGTATGAGAGTGATTTAATTCTCTAATATATACCGTGTACATGACTCTTCAGCCCAGTTGGTCTTCAGATAAGGAGGGAGTTTGAATTGCATCATCCAAGGACAATGTTATTTTAGAAGGACACACAACTACTGGGAAGTATTTAAATAAATTCTGGAAAGAAGGAATCATTTATGTGTGAAAATAGTATTTTTAAATTTGTATTTTACTTTGACAGGTAGAGTTATAGACAGTGCAAGAGAGACAGAAAGAAAGGTCTTCCGTTGGTTCACTCCCCAAATGGCCGCTACGGCTGGCCCGAAGCCAGGAGCCAGGTGCTTCTTCCTGGTCTCCCATGTGGGTGCAGGGGCCTGAGTGCTTGGGCCATCCTCCACTATCCTCCGGGGCCACAGCAAAGAGCTGGACTGGAAGAGGAGCAACAGGGACTAGAATCCGGTGCCTATATGGGATGCCGGCACTCCAGGCAGAGGATTAGCCAAGTGAGCCACGGTGCCGGCCCCGAAAATAGTATGTGCAGAGCACAAGTCTCCGCTAGGATGCAATTTGGCATTTTAGCAAAATTGTTGGACATTTTGTGTCCTTGGTCCCTGTCTACTGAATACTTGTGCCCTCAAATTACCGTCCCCTGACATTTCAAAACACCTCCTAGGAGAGCATAACCATCCCTGGATGAGAGCCATTGAATTAACTTGTGCTTAGTGAGAGGTGTGGTAAGAAGTGAGTTTGGAAAGGAAGACCTGAGTGCAATTGAAAAAGGACTTGGTGACAGGCTAAGTATGGATATTATCTAGGGTATTGAACAGGCAGTGGATTAAAGTGTTTATTTGGGATAATTCTAATAAATTGAAGGAAATGAATTGAATGGGACAAAAAGTAGAAGAAGCCAATCAGACTAGAAATTTTGTTCTAATGAAAGGTTTGTCAATAATGAATTTGAGGGGGCCGGCGCCGTGGCTCACTTGGTTAATCCTCCGCCTGCAGCACCGGCATCCCAAATGGGCACCAGGTTCCAGTCCCAGTTGCTTCTCTTCCAGTCCAGCTCTCTGCTGTGGCCTGGGAGGGCAGTGGAGGATGGCCCAAGTGCTTGGGCCCCTGCACCTGCATGGGAGACCAGGAGGAAGCACTTTTGCTGTTGTCAGGGATGGAAATATTTAGACTTAAAGAAATTTAGATTTACTGCCATTTCATGGAATTGCTGGAAGTTGTATCCGTCAAGTAATTAATTGCAAGTATCAATGGATTGCCTAACTCTTACACATCTGCGTTGCTTTGTTCTTAAGCTATATGGCTTAGGTGAACTACTAATTTGTCTCTCATGGTTTATGAACTTGCATAGGAACAAAGGGTCTATCTGGAAGCAGTTTTTTCTTCAGATTTAGACAGTTCACGGAGGGGTTTCAAGTCCTGGCTATTCAGTGCATTTGCCTTCCTAGACTATTGGTGTGCACGGGAGACAGAGCAAGAGTGGAGGGGGATCTGAGCTATTTATTTCAATTTATAGAGCTAGCATTATATATACCATGTATGGACAACTGGCTGGCTATGTGATGTGTTACTCAAATGTGGACATTAGAAGTGCAGGAGGCTGCTATCAATAACTATGTAGAGAAGTTAAGTGCAAACCAGGATGATCCTGGGCAAACTGGTATGGATGGTCACCTCAGCAATGAGGTCATAGTGTTTCAACAGAATCTTCCTTAGATAATTCCCAAGCACATTTTGGCTAAGTAGATCCCTGTTCTCAGAAGTGGAAAACAGAGCAGTGACTGTAAATCAGCCTTGGAAAGAGATTGTACTTGTGATATGGATTGGCTATATAATTATACTTATTTTAAGTGACTGTAATCAATGTTGGAGTTACCGATCTAGATCAAATCACTACTTTTCTAGTATAGATGGGAAGTGCTCAGTAGCAAGATTGCTGTGAAGCAAAGGGGAAGTGAGAAATTTATTTATTCTTGGCACATGACTTTGGATGACCTTGGTTCTTCTATAATGATTTGCTTTTTTCATAGATATTGCATCTATTGCATTAATATTTGCATTTCATTGAAATGATGAAATTAAACTGGAAAAACTTAGACCGAGAAATTTAAGTCATAACCACTTTTAAGATATTATTGCTCAACGGCAGAGAAGCAAGGTATACTTCAGGCAATAATAGCTTACGTCTTAAAAGTGAAGCTTGGTCATCCCTTTCCTAATCACCAGTGTAAGATTCCGAGTGTAAACTGATACGTTTCTTCTGAAGGAAGACTTGCTCTAAGAAAAGTTGGCTGGCGATGGCTTCTTGGTTCATACAGTGTTCAGCTTATAAAATTCAAACATGCTTAAGAAAACCCATTCAATAAGCATTTGAAGCATGCTCCAAGTATATTTACTAACAAACACAGAAGCCAGTATTGTCCTTGCTACTATGATAGGTGATAGTCATCTCTTACTTTCTTTCTCATTGATAAATTAACTTACATAAAAGCTTTATATTTAAAATGCATGTTTCTTATAGAATGCTTACAAAATGCATACACCTTTAAAGAAAAGCAAAAGAAACAACACATGAATTACTACTCAAAGATAATAAAACTTTATTTTGGCTTCTATCTTGACATTTTGTCTGAAGATTTCTGTCTTTGGCTTCTTATAAAGGAGTTCTGTTTTATATTTTGTTTAACTTGATGCATTTTGAACACTTTCTCTTGTAATTAGGACTGTAGTCTCTGGATATATCTTATGCATGGCTGATAAACTTTTGGAAAATTTGCTTTCAGTTTTTCATTATAAGCAGTTTCATGAATATCCTTTATGTATAAATTCTTATTCTTTCTCACATAAATTTTTATACAGTTGTCTGATTTAGTTTTGTAAGATAAACTTTTTTAAAGATTTATTTGTTTATTGGAAGAGTTACAGAGAGAGGAGAGACACAGAGAAATATTGCATCTATTGGTTCACTCCCTAGATGGCCTCAATGGTCAGGACTGGGCCAGGAGCCAGGAACTTCTTTCAGATCTCCCATGTGGGTGGTAGGACCTCAACACTGGGGCCGTCTTCTATTATTTTTCCCAGACCATTAGCAGGCAGCTGGATTTGAAAGTAGGGGAGCAAAGATGTGAACCAATATGCATATGATATGCCAGCACTGCAAGGTGCAGTTTTACCTGCTAGGCACAATGCCAGCCGCTAAGCTAAGCTTTTAAACATAGTACAAGTCCTTTTCAGAACTTTTGGTATACATTGCCAGATGGCCTGCTGGCAAAGTGTATGTAGCAGTTCACATCTTGATTGACAAAACAATTTTCCCTTGCTGAGTATGAATGGCAAAAATTATTAAAGTAGTTTTTTTTTGTTTAATGTGCTTTTCTTTGATACAAAGTTAAATATTGGCATTGTAGGGTGTTTGCCAGAATTCCTACCCCCTCTTTCATTGTGCAATTGTATTGCTTTTAGTAATTAAAATAAAATCCTTTCAATTAAGTGGATTTGGCCTTCTGTACCCACGAGTCCTGCTTCCGTGGGTTGAACCAACCACAGCTCAAAAATATTGAGGGGATGTCATTATGGCTTAGTGGGTAAAGCTAATTCCTGCAATGCCGGCATCCCATTCAGGTACTGTTTTGTGTACTGGCTGCTTCACTTCCAATCCAACTCCTTGCTAATGGCTCAGGAAAAGTAGCAGAAGATGGCCCAAATACTTGGTCCCCTGCTACAGATGTGGGAGACCCAGTTGGAGTTCCAGGTTCCTGGTTTCAGTCTGGCTCAGCCCTGGGTGTTTGTGGCCATCTGGGTAGTGAACCAGCAGATGAAGGATTTCTGTCTCTTACTCTCTAACTCTGACATTCAAATAAATATCTTCAAAAATTGATAATTACATCTGCACTGAACATGTACGTACTTTTTCTTGTCATTTGTTAAATGTTATGTAAATAGTTGTTATGTTTGTGTTTTTGTACAGGCAGAGTGGACAGTGAGACAGAGAAAGGTCTTCCTTTGCTGTTGGTTCACCCTCCAATGGCCACTGCGGCCAGCATGCTGAGGCCGGCGCACCGCGCTGATCTGAAGGCAGGAGCCAGGTGCTTCTCCTGGTCTCCCATGGGGTGCAGGGCCCAAGCACTTGGGCCATCCTCCACTGCACTCCCTGGCTACAGCAGAGAGCTGGCCTGGAAGAGGGGCAACCGGGCCAGAATCCGGCGCCCCGACCGGGACTAGAACCCAGTGTGCCGGCGCTGCTAGGTGGAGGGTTAACC